GATCCCAGCATTGTAGCTGACGACGTTGGACTCCAGCTTCGCCTCCCACATCTCGGTGATCAGCGCCAAGGCCCGCTGCCACTGCTCGCCCGTCCCGCACGCGCGAATTCCAACGTTGTAGCTGATGACGTTGGGCTCCAGCTCCGCCTCCCGCATCTCGCGGAGCAGCGCCAGGGCTCGCTGCCACTGGTCGCCCTTCTCGCACGCGCTAATCCCAGAGTTGTAGCTAATGACGTTGGGCTCCAGCTTTGCCTCCCGCATCTCGCTCAGCAGCGCCAGAGCCCGCTGCCACTGCTCGCCCGTCGCGCACGCGCTGATCCCAGCGCTGCAGCTGATGACGTTGGGCTCAAGCCTCGCTGTCCACATCTCGTTCAGCAGCGCCACAGCCCGCTGCCACTGCTCGCCCTTCTCGCACGCACTGATCCCAGCGTTGTAGCTGACGACGTCGGGCTCCAGCTTCGCCTCCCGCATCTCGCTCAGCAGCGCCAGCGCCCGCTGCCACTGCCGGCCCTTCTCGCACGCGCTGATCCCAGCACTGTAGCTGAAGGACACGGGCTCTAGCTTGGCCTCCCGCATCTCGCTGAGCAGCGCCAGAGCCCGCTGCCACTGCTCGCCCTTCTCGCACGCGCTGACCCCTGCAGTGCAGCTGATGACGTTGGGCTCCAACTTCGTCTCCCACATCTCGCCCAGCAGCGCCAGAGCCTGCTGCCACTGCTCGCCCTTCTCGCACGCACTGGGCCCTGCAATGTAGTAGAGATGACGTCGGGCTCCACCTTCGCTTCACGCATCTCGCTGAGAAGCGCTAGCGCCCGCTGCCACTGTTCACCCTTCTCGCACGCACTGATCGCTGCATTGTAGCTGACTAGGGCAGACCTGTGGACTCCGTCCACGACATCAGCTCGACGTGGCGAGGGATCTCTGGGCAAGCGCGGGGGGGTGCGGCTGCAGGGCCGAAAGGCAATCATGATGGCGTCGGGCTCCAGCTTGGCTTTCCACATCTCGCAGTGCAGCGCCAGGCCCCTCCTCCTCCTCCTCCTCCTTCTCCTCCTCCTCTTCCACCTTCTCCTCCTCTTTCGCTCGATTCTCCATGCCCTCGGTCGGCAATCGTCGATCCTACGACGACTCTCCCCAACAGAGAAACATCGAAGGCCCTCGGAGCGTCCAACATTGTTCTTTTGTGCCTTCGATATGCCGGTCGCCTCTCGTCCGCTCCCCCCCTCCTGGAAGCAATTCTGAGGCCACTTCGGGCTTCGTGGGGGCCGTTTGGGGATCTCTTGGGGCGTTTTTGCCTGCGATATGCCTGTCGCCTCTCGTCCGCTCCCCCGCTCCTGGAGGGAATTCTGAAGCCACTGAAGGCTTCGTGGGGGCCGTTTCGGAGCCTCTTCGGCCTTCTTTTGGGCCTCCCGGGGGGGCTCTTAGGGCCCTCTCGGGCCGTCTTGGGTGCCTCTTGGGCCGTCTTGGGGCCGTCTGAGGCCCGCCTCGGCGCCTCTTGGGCTGTCTTGGGCCGTCTTGGGCCGCTCCTGGGGCCGTCTTGGGTGCCTCTTGGGCCGTCTTGGGCGCCTCCTGGGCCGTCCTGGGGCCGTCCTGGGGCGTCTTGGGACCGTCTTGGGGCCCTCCTGGCCCGTCTTGGGGCTCTCTTGGGGTCCTCTTCGGCCGTCTTGGAGCGGTCGGGGGGACTTCTTGGGCCGTCTTGGAGCGTCGGGAAGCCGAAGAGGCGAGGATGCCGAAAACATCGAAAAACACAACAGAAATCGACGATTTCTGTCGCTCGGGGCCCTCTTGGGAGGCCTCTTGGGAAGCCTCTTCGGGCGTCTTGGACGCCTCTTGGGCCGTCTGGGGCGAATCTCGGGCGTCTTGGGCCCATCTTTAAGCGTGCCGGGGCTCTCCGGGGCCGTCTTGGGGGCTTCGGGGGGCCCTCTCGGCGTGTCCTGGAGCCTGCCTGGGCGGCCTGGGGCGGCCCGGGGCCAGCCCGGGGCGGTTTCGGTGCATTGGGGCCCGCGCCCTTCTGGCACGCACTGGGCCCTGCAATGTAGTAGAGATAACGTCGAGCACCAGTTTCGCCTCCCGCATCTCGCCGAACAACGCCAGAGCCCGTTGCCACTGCTCGCCCTTCTCGCACGCGCTGATCCCAGCGTTGTAGCTGATGGCGCTGGGCTCCACCTTCGCCTCCCGCATCTCGCTGAGCAGCGCCAGCGCCCGCTGCCACTGCTCGCCCTTCTCGCACGCGCTAATCCCAGCGTTGTAGCTAATGACGTTGTGCTCCAGCTTCGCCTCCCAAATCTCATTCAGCAGCGCCAGAGCCCGCTGCCACTGCTCACCCTTCTCGCACGCGCTGATCCCAACACTGTAGCTGATGAGGTTGGGCTCCAGCTTAGCATCCCACATCTCACTGAGCACCGAGAGTGCGTGCTGCCACTGCCCGCCACGTCTGCATGCGCCGACAGTCGCAACGTAGTGGCATGGAAAGACTTGCACACCCAGCTGGACTCCTTCGCGCAGCAGCTGCAGTGCGGCGCTCCATTGTCTTGTCCGACCACGCGTCTCGATTGCCACTCCGAGGGGAACGGCGCCTTCCCGAGACCCCCTACCGAAAAGCAGCATCCGACAAAGGCGGCATCACGGCGCCTTGATCCACCTCCTCATTCTCCACATCAAGGGCAGGATCAGTCAGCGCTGAATCGGGAAACCGACTTGAGCCAAAATGGCTACGGGGAGGAGGAGGAGGAGGAGGAGGAGGAGGAGGAGGAGGAGGAGAAGGAGGAGGAGGAGAAGGAGGAGGAGGAGGAGGAGGAGGATGGAGGAGGAGGAGGATGGCGCCGAAGGACTCGAGGCTCCCGCCGGCCGCCGACGTCCGGCGGCTGCACTCCGAGCCGCTGGGGCTCCACGAGCCGCAGCGCGTCGACGCCGAGGGGCGCCTGCTTACCAGCCTCGGACTGATCCTCCTCCTCCTCCTCCTCCTCCTCCTCCTCCTCCTCCTCCTCCTCCTCCTCCTCACCTCCTATCCCTAAGATTGACACGCCAAAAGGCGATGACAATCTTAGGGATGCGCCCTCAAAAAATGAGGGAATCCCTGAGACTGGCACCGTGACGAGGAGATGCCCAGCATAGGGATAGGGATATGTTCCAGGCTGGTAACCTGCTCTTCGCCGGCGTCGCCGGAGCCGCGCCGGCGGCCGCGGCCGGCGCCGAGGGGCGGCCGGCCTCGGCCGGCGACCGGTGCCGCCCAGGAACCTGCAGGGCGGATATCCGTGGCGCAAGAGAGGGGGCCAGCTGCGAAGCCTGCCCCTGCCCCCCAGGATTTTTCGGAGGGGGAGGGGCTGGGGTGCGCTTCGCTCGGGAGCTCCCGAACGACGTGAAGCCCAGCCTCCCCTCTCAGACATCGTGGGGGGCAGGGGCAGGCTTCGCAGCTGGCCCCCCACAAGAGGAGCTGCCAGGCGGTGATGGGGGGGGGGGGGGGGGCTTGGGGAGGGGAGCACGGCAGGAGAGGCCGGCGGGCCGAGGGAGAGAGGCAGAAGCAGCAGGGAGGAGGGAAGGGGGGGGGGGAAGAGCGAGCGAGAGAGTGTGAGAGAGAGAGGCTGGCAGAGAGGTAGAGAGAGAGAGAGAGAGAGAAATCGAGTTATAATGCGAATGAGTAAGAGGGAGAGAGAGAGAGAGAGAGGATGAGAAGGATAGAGCCAGGGGGCATGTTTACGCTGCCGTATTATTCGCCCTAGAGCCACTGCCATGTCCAGGGGAGCGGGGCGGAAATTGCGGTACATGGTGCTGGCAGAGCGCGGGGATCCCTCCAAGATGGCAGCGCCTTCAGTAAAGTGCTCTGTTGAACCGCAAGGTGTGAGCCATAAAACTGATACGCATCTGCAGAGTATATAGACGGCAAGGAGGATAAGGTCGACGAGGGGTAGGCGACTGGTGGTTGCGGGGAGGAGATGAGAGCGAGAAAGGGTGGATGAGATGACTCAGGGGGGAGTGCAAGGAGAGGAGAAGGAGGAGGAGGAGGAGGAGGACGACGAGGAGGAGGAGGAGGAGGGACAGTTCTGCTCGCAGCGTCAAGGCACCATGGAGGCAGGGAAGACAGGTTGAGGTGACCGCGGCTCTCCTGTCAGGCCCAAACCCGCTCAAACTGCGCAGATCCTGATTGATCTTCACCTTCCCTGGGGGGCTGCGAACTGCGAAACTGTCCCAGCGTTCGTGAGCTCGCGCGAGGTCCAGCGGAGCAGTGTCCTACGCAGGCCCAGATGAGACCTCGGCCTCCCGAGATGCTCCTTGAAAGACCCCGGTGCTGTCTTTCCTCATCCCCTCCTCGGCAGCCCTCCTTCTCTTTGTCACCGATGTCCTTCCCCCTTCTCCCTTCCACGTCATATCCCTAGATACTGCCTCCCTCAAAAATGCTCCATGGATCTTGCAGCGCGTAAGTACCCACGTACCTGTCCCAACAATGCGCGTTCCTTGTAATGTCAGTCCGCATGCTGCGAGCTTATTGTTATGGTCAAGTGTTGCAGACTGCAGATGGGTTGGGTACGTAGCCAGCGTTTGTTGCTGATTTGAGTATGCTCTCTCTCCCTCTCTCTCTCTCTCTCTTTTTTTCTCTCTCTCTCTCTCTCCCTCTCTCTCTCTCTCTCTCTCTCTGAGAGGAGGAGGAGGAGGAGGAGGAGGAGGAGGAGGAGGAGGAGGAGGAGCGAACGTCCCCGTGAGAGACTCTCCACTGTTCGCCTTCCCTAGGCGCCCCCGCTGCCCGACAGGTTCGCGCGCAGCCCTACGGCACTCCTCGCGGCCCTCACGGCCGAGACATGAAAGTCGCAGCCCACAAATGCGATGATGATGCTGCTGATGATGATGCTGCTGATGGTGATGATGATGATGATGATGATGATGATGATGATGATGATGATGATGATGCTGTTGCTGATGATGATGATGATGAGGAGGAGGATGATGATGATGGTGATGATGATGATGACGATGGTGATGATGCTGATGATGCTGATGATGCTGATGATGATGACGATGATGATGGTAATGTTGATGAAAACGATGATGATGATGATGATGATGATGATGATGATGATGATGATGATGATGATGATGATGATGATGATGATGATGATGGTGATGATGATGACGATGATGATGAGGATGATGGTGATGGTGATGATGATGAGGAGGAGGAAGAGGAGCAGATGATGGTGATGATGGTGATAATGATGAGGAGGGCAGGCGAAGTAACGTCACCTACCCGCCCATCCCCCCTCATCATGATGAGGGGAGAAGGGCAGGAGGAGGAGGAGGAGGAGGAGGAAGGGAGAACGATGATGATGACGCCGACGACGATGAGGGAGCGGAGGACGCCCCCCCACGAGGCCGCGCCGCCCCTCCTCGGGCAGCAGGGCCAGCTCCTGCCGCACGGCCTGCAGGATCTTGGGGCGCGAGAAGGAGGGCACCGGCGGCTTCCTCGCCCTCTGCTGGGGCTGCCCGGCCTGCTCCTGGGAGCCCGCGACATCCTCGTCGTCGCCGATTTTTTTGTGCCTTGGCATGCAATATCGATGGATCCCGTCATTGCGAGTGGATCGATCCATCAATCGATATCATCGATGCCACGCTTCACTTCCCCTGCGAATGACTGACCGAATGAGAACGTAATCGCCGCCGCCCTCGCCGCTGGTCGTCGTCGCCACCTGGGCGACGATCAAAAACGGGTCTCACGCGAGATGGCGACCTTACGCGGCAGCTTACGCGGGCCGCCGGCGCGGCACGCTGCACTGGAGCCGGAGGCGCCTACGCCCGAGCGCGCGCGGGCAGCTCACGCGCCAGAGTCGGCGCCGACGACCCCGTCGTTTTGCGCCGCTGACCTGTCACCTTCGCTGGTCGCCGTCGGTGCTGGTCGTCGTCGTCGTCGTCGTCGTCGTCGTCGTCGTCGTCGTCGTCGTCGTCGTCGTCGTCGTCGTCGTCGTCGTCGTCGTCGTCGTCGTCGTCGTCGTCGTGGTCGTCGTCGTCGTCGTCGTCGTCGTCGTGGTCGTCGTCGTCCTTGGTCGTCGTCGCCGCCGGCCGTGGCTGGTCGTCGTCAAGGGGGCAGGAGGAGGAGGAGGAGGAGGAGGAGGAGGAGGAGGAGGAGGACAGCTCGTCTCTGACATCTCGCGCGGTGGTTCTCGCATGCGAGGCATCGCGGTGGCCTCCAACGCGGTCGCAGGTGCACGCCGTAATGAAGCAAGCGGGCCCTGAGCTTGTTGGCCGACCTCGGGCTCGCGGGGCCCTCCTGGGGCCCCAGGACTGCCGCAAAACTGCTCAGGATGTCCGGGGGGAAGCCAACCCCCCTCCCCTCCCCTCCCCTCCCCTCCAAGATGTCCGGGGAGAGCCCAGAAGCGAATCGACAAGTCGGATCGGCGATCGAGATGAATCGGATCGGGGCAGATCGGCAGCCGAGTCGGGAAAAGTCGGAGCGGCGGAAATCCGCAGGCTAGTAGAACTCCACTGAGAAATCGGAGCCCGAACCGGAGACTCCGAAGTCGAACCGAATCGGCATCGGAAGCCATCGCCGTCGAAGCGAATCGAATCGGAGGAGTCGAAAGGAGCCCTGGGAGGCCCCCAGGACCCGGGACTCCTTCCCCGCAGGGCCCCTCCCGCCATGCCAAGGGCTCCTCCCCGCAGGGCTCCTCCCCGCAGGGCTCCTCCCCGCAGGACCCCTCCCCGCAGGACCCGGGACTCCTTCCCCGCAGGGCCCCTCCCGCCATGCCGAGGGTGGTGACGTGGGGCGCGAGGGCAGAGGCGTGGCGGAGGCGGCAGCGGCAACCCTCCCGCCGCCCGGCGAGAGGAGAGCTGGCGGATCTCGTTTTCTATCTGTCTCTCTCTCTCTTTCTTTCTCTCTCTCTCTCTCTCTCTCTCTTTCTCTCCCTCTATTCCTCCCTCTCTCTTTCTCTCCCTCTTTCTCTCTCTCTCTCTCTCTCTCTCTCTCTCTTTCTCTCTATATCTCTACATCTCTCTCTCTCTCTCTCTTTCTCTCTATCTCTCTATCTATATATATATACACACACATCCCTCGTTCCCCCTCTTTCTCTCTCTCCCCCTCTCTCTCTTTCTCGCTCTCTCGTGATCTATCCTTTCCTCATTTGGCATGTTGCCGCGCTTGCCCTCCATTAATGGTTCTGTTTGCGCACCATCGAACCTTGTCAGAGGCGACACGCACGGCCGATGTCCTGGGTGTCCTTCTTCTTCGTCTTGCGCTTCCTCTTCCTCTTCCTCTTTTTCCGGGATCTCCCGTCGAGGCAGGGCTGATCCTGAGGGGGGGGGCTCGGCGGAAGTCCGGAACACAGAGGAGGAGCCCTAATGCGCAAGAGGGGGTGGGTGGGTGGGCGAGAAGGCTCCCCTCGCTCCTCCTCCTCCTCCTCCTCCTCCTCCTCCTCCTCCTCCTCCTCCTCCTCCTCCTCCTCCTCCTCCTCCTCCTCCTCCTCCTCCTCCTCCTCCTCCTCCTCCTCCTCCTCCTCCTCCTCCTCCTCCTCCTCCCTCCTCCTCCTCCTCCTCCTCCTCCTCCTCCTCCTCCTCCTCCTCCTCCTCCTCCTCCTCCTCCTCCTCCTCCTCTTCTCAAGCGCATGCGGCCCAAGGCGCGCAATTCCTTTTGGATCCAGCGCGCCACAGTGCCGCGCCCCGCGCCTCCGCGCTGCGCTCGAGGGGCACCGGAGCCGCCACGCCACGGGTGCGAGGCCGATCCCCGCGGGGAAGCGGGGCGAAGTAGATCGATGCATGAAGATGTCCTGGACATGCCAGCAGCTTCCGATGGAGACAGCCTCCTCCTCCTCCTCCTCCTCCTCCTCCTCCTCCTCCTCCTCCTCCTCCTCCTCACCCTCCTCCCTTCCAATGGAGATAGCTGTCCAGAAGACCCACATCTGAGAGACGGTCGAAAACAGATCTTGCGCGAGGTGACACAGCGAACTTACGCCGCAGCCTATGCGGGCGTCCTGCGCGGCACGCAACGTTGGAGACGAGGACGCTCACGCGCGACCTCACGCGGGCAACTTACGCGCCAATGTCGGCGCAGACGACCCCGTTGTTTTGCGTCGCTCAGCTGCCCGGAAAACCCACATGTGTGCCTGCAATGGTTTGGTTTCAAGTGGTGGCGACTTGGCAAGCGGCGAGGCCCCTCGGCACGTTACCACCTGCACCGCCGCAGTGAGCTTCGGGCGAGTGCTTGTTAAGCTAAGGCGTCTGATTCAGCGCGTGCGAGAAGGGCAGGCAGATGTGCAGCGGGTGGCGCCGCTGCTGAGCGAGGTGGGGAGGCGAAGGATGCGCCTACCGACATCAGCTACAAGACTTGGATCAGCACGTGCGGGAAAGGCGGGCAGTGCTTTCCCCAGCCTTGTGTACAGCACTATGTTCCATCAATTCAATGTGTGCGAGTGTGGTCAATGGCGGCCTTCGGGTTTCTCAATAAGTTTCACTTCATTATGCTGCTGGTGGTTTCGCGGCACGCTTTGGATCACATTCCAGGGGCAGTCGACAGGTATATTATCAGTGCTCGCTTTGCTGTGTCATTAGTGGTGCGCAGACTGCTCCAGAATCATGTACCGCCGTCGTGTTTCAGGGCGGGTTATTTGCAGGGGGGAGGAGCTTAGGACAATGAGCACCAATGCTCACTTCATGTTGATGGGGTGAAGGTTCTCTTCCGTATCCTGGCAGTCTGGCTTTGAAGGCAGCATGTGATCTCATATGTTGGCTTCTGGGTCGTCTCGGCAATCGGGAAGGTCTGAGAGCGACGTGGTAAGCTGTTGGATCCTCCTCCTCTTCCTTATTCCTCCTGCTCCACTTCCTCCTCCTCCTCCTCCTCCTCCTCCTCCTCCTCCTCCTCCTCCTCTTCCTCAGATTACTAAGATTAGTATTACTCGTTCTCTTCCTTCTCCTCCTCCTCCTCCTCTTCTCCCTCCTTCCCATCTTCCTCCTCCTCTTCCTCCTCCTCCTCATCCTCATTATCATCATCAGCAGCATCATCATTATCATCAGCATCATCATCAGCATCAACATCCTCTTCCCACCTCTCGACAATGACACATTATGAATACTACTTCCCTCTCTCCCCTGCCTCTGCCCAGAAGCTGTTCAGCCACCTCCGCGGACTGTTTGTGTTGCACCAGAGGTTGAATGCTAGTATGTCCTAACGTACTTTTACCATCCAACTCTGCTGGTGCTTCAAAATGGTCTTCAGGCTGCAGCATGGGCCTCATTTTCGCATCGGTCTCCTCATCCACCTCCTCCTCCTCTTCCGGTTCCTTCTCCTCGGCCTCCTCTTCCTCATCATCATCCTTCTCCTCCTCCTCCTCCTCCTCCTCATCATCATCATCATCATCATCATCAGCGTCACCACCATCATCAGCAGCAGCATCATCGTTATCCTCCTCATCCTCCTTCTCCTCCTCCTCCCTTCCTTATAAATAACTCCTCCCTGTCGCACCCCGAGGCCAGTCGAAAGGGCGGGCTGGGCGTTTTGCCTGAACCTCTCTTAGCATGTATGACCCTGAAGCTTCAACATTGGCAACAGTTTCACACAGGGAGGGCGAGTGTTTTTTCATGTGGCTCTCGATTAAGCGCTGCGCACGTTCGTTTTAGATAATGCAAGAGCTTCAAAGATTGAGGACCAGTGGTTTTCAAAATGTGGCTCTCGCCTTGGCGCCGCACACTTTCGTCGAACAAAAAAAATGCAAGAGCTTCACAGAATGAGGGAGGGTGGTTTTCAAAATGTGGCTCTCGCTTGAGCGCCGCGCACCTTCGTCTTAAAAATGAAACAGCTTTATGGGTGGAGGGTGGGTCGTTTTCACAATGTGGCTCTGGGCTTAGCGCCGCGCACATTCGATTAAAAAATTGCCAGAGGTTCACGGATTCCCATGGTCAACGTACCTGGCTTGTGCTTTTGAAAGGCTCAGGATTGTGAGGGCGCAACAGTTACGTTGATTCGCGGTGTTGAAGTCCCAGGAATGGTGTTCTGGTACAATTCAGGATCGTCAAGACTCAACAGTCAGGTTGATCCGTGTCGTTTGAGTCCTGAGAACGGTGTTTTGGCACGCGTCAGGGTCTTCAGACGGTTGTCTCCCAACGAGGCAGTTCCCTCAGTGGAAATGAGCCCTTGTATGTGGCCTATTGGAGGGAGGGTTGATTCCAGCATCGTTGATGAGTCTTGGGTTTACACTGGTCCTTCTCCTCCTCCTCCTCCTCCTCCTCGTCCTCGCGCTCCCCTCAACCATGTTTGCGTACATCTCTGGCTACCCTCCTCTTGCCCTCCTCCAGATGCTTCGAGTCTGGGGAACGCCACAAACTCCAGGAACTGTTTGTGCGCAGCCCTGGGTCCTGCCCAGACATCCGACGTGGCGTTCAAAAACACATCACCGTGAACACAAATACAACCTGAACTCTCGGACCCACAAGTGTGCTGATGTGTTCGAGTCCGATAGAGTCATGAAGTCCGAAGGGTCCCGTCCAAAAGTCAGAGATCGAAAAAGTAGTATGTCCTTATGTTTTGGCGCGACGCCCAGAACTCCTCGGCCGTCGTAATGTATACCGCCCCCAGACAGACCTGTCCTGTAGCGAGCTCTGGCCAGGATTCCGAAACGAACCCGGACGTGGCGACGACGGTAACCCCCAGAAGGCCCAAACGGACGAGAAGCCTTGCATACAACTCCTTCCTGCTCCCCGATCGGGCCGGACGAACGGGACGGAACACAGTCGGACCCAGGCCAGAAGAACATCCCTCAAGAACACGAGACCTTCCGCCGGCCCAAACACGCAGAGCAACCAGGGGGAGCCCTCCCCCAGGATGCACAGGAACACCCAACAAACACGAACGCTAGGGTACAGTCGGGGCGTTGACCTAAGGAACCCTAAATACAGAACGATGCCCCTGTTCTCCACACATTGAACTTCGACTTCCCATGGAAAACCTACGGAAAACCCAGGGCAAACTGCGAAACAACTAAGGAACACGGAGCCCCTCCCCAACGAAAAGTGTTCCTTCTTCAGCGCCCCGGCTGTACCCTCCCCCAACCGACCTCGATCTTGCACCTCGGTCCGACGGTGTCCTCCTGGGCGGCGGCCGGCGACTCCGCCTGCGCCGCGGGCTCCGCCATGGCGCAGCTCGGCGCCGGCTGCGCCCAGGGCATCGAGGAGGGCGCCCAGCGGCGAGGCCGAAACCAGCCGAAGGGGCAGCAGATTTGCCCCCCCCCCCTCCTCCTCCTGCTCCTCCTCTTCTTCTTCTTCTGCTTCTTCTTCTTCTTCGTTTTCTTCTTCTTAGTATTATTAGTATTATTATTATTATTATTATTCTTGGTACTATTCTTCTTCTTAGTATTATTATTATGATTGTTATTATTGTTATCATTATTATTATTATTCGTAGTATTATTATTATTATTTTTATTATTATTCGTCTTAATATTATTATTCTTATTAGTATTATGCTTCTTCCTCTTCTACTTATTATTATTATTGTTATTATTCCTCCTCCTCTTCCTCCTCCTCCTCCTCCTCCTCCTCCTCCTCCTCTTCCCCCCCTCCCGCTCTTCTTTGTCGCCCCCCGACCCTTTGGACGCCCGAGGTGGGTACATAAGGGGCGTTGACCTGAGGATCCCTAAATAAGGAACGAGGCCCCTTTTTCCCCTCAGTTTAACTTCGATGTCCCATCGAAACCCTAAGCAAAACCAAAGGCGAACTGCAAAACAACTAAGGAACACCGAGCCCTTCTCAACGAAAAGGGTTCCTTCCTCAGTGCCCCGACGGTACGGGGTGCAGAAAAAATGGGCACAATGCCGAACAACAACTCTTGACCCAAAGCAGCAGCGGCCGCTGTTGCGCAGGCGGCTTCGTGCCTGCAGAGAGCAGCGCCCGCGGCGGCGCGGACAGCGAGTCCTGTTCAAAATGAACAAGAGCTGCTGTTGGGCATTGCACCCTCGGGGTGGACAAGCCTCCCTTTCGCAAACCTCCCTTGAATGAAAACAGCCTGGGACCGAAACCGACGGACCTGGACCTGCGAAAATGACGGCCGCGACGCCGTCTCGCCAACGGACAACGGCCAACTCCTGAATCGACGTGTCAGGGTAGGATGTCTGTCCACCTCCGATACAGTCGGGGCCTTGACCTAAGGAACCCTAAATAAGGAACGAGGCCCCTTTTCTCCATGAGTTAACCTTCAATTTCCTGTCGAAAACATAAGGAAAGCCTGAGACAAGCTGCGAAACACTTAAGGAACGCGGAGCCCCTCCCCAACGAAAAGGGTTCCTTCTTCAGGGCCCCGACTGTACCCATTCGTTCCGTACCCATCCCGATCCTCCCGAGGCCCAGGAGCTGCCCCCCACCCCCCCCGGGAGCGGCAGCGGGAGCGGCCTCCTCCGCCGGAGCGGCATCCGCTGCCCGCGCCTCCTCGCGGCGCGGACCCAGCAGGCTTGGGGCGGGGAGGGCGGCCCTCTGCGAGAGGGCCGCGGGGTGGCCGTCTCGAGCCCGATCCCGACGGCACTCGGCAAGGCACCAAAGAG